TACTTTGTGCCTCTAGTTTTCCTTCTGCGTTTAGAAGCAGATTTGACCCTGACTGCCTCCTCTTCCTCCTCCTCCATCTCAGCCTCTTCCACCTGTTCCCCCCACCTGCCTCCTCTGCCTGTGTTTCATCTTCCTCCTCTGACACACCCTCCTGCACTTCACTGACCCCACTTGCTTTATTTATCTGTACTTCACTCACACTTTTTCCAGCTGTTTCTTCCCCCTTTTCTTCCCCCACCTCACTTTCCACCACATCACCCAAAACCTCTCCTTCACTTCCCTGATTGTTTTCACCCACACCGTGCACATCATTCATACTCACCACCCCGTGCTCCAGGTCAGACACAGCAGCGGCGAGGTGCGGCGCGCTCCGCGGTGCCGCTATCGGCCGCTCAGATGCCGCGGTCCGGGCCGCAGCGGATGAAGTCTCCGCCGCGGCCTCAGGCCGCGGGGCAGGGGCCTCCCGCCGCTCCGCTGCAACCGGCGGAGCAGCGGAAAGCCCCGCCACAGGGCCGGGCGTCACCCCACGGCCAGGCGGAGCCGGATCCCCTTGTCTCGGACAGGCCTTCACGGTGTGTCCCTCCTCACCACAACCAAAACATTTCATAGCCGACGAGGTGGCAAATATCACGTAGTCATAATCATCTACTTTAACATGGAAGCGGAGGTTGAGGTTAAGTATCATAAACAGTTGTCTCCGGTGAGACACCACGTGTTTCAGCAGCTGAGATCTACATCCAGACAGAATCTTTTTTATGGGGGACACCACCTTCCCATGTCTGGAGAGCTCTCTGCTAAGAAACTCGTCGGTTATGAACGGAGGGACATTGGACAGGATGACTCTGGTGGAAGGCTGTGTCAGTGGAGTCACCTGTACAAACATTTGGTTCACCGTGATGCCCGTCTCAACGACTCGGTTCACCTTCTCCACCTGATCCAGGAAGATGACCACGGCGCTGTTCATCCGAGCGGCTGACCTCACGCTGCTGTGCCCGACCTTCTCCCCCACCGCAAGCCCAATCTCCTCCACGCTGCACGGAAAGCTGGCATTCATTTTAATGCCATGCTTTCTCGTGAGGTGGCCGAAGGTGACTCCATTTACCATGATGTCTGAAGACGCCGACCGGCGAGACACCGGCAGGAGAGAAAAAGAAAAACACAAACACAAACACACACTAACTATTAACTTAAAGTGAAACTACAACCAATAAACTACATTAAATTAAATCAAATTACCAAAGAAAAAAACCATCAAACACACTCGCTCAGCGTCTCACTCCGCACCACTCACTCCCAGCATGCACCAGAGAGAGAGAGAGAGATAGAGAGAGACAGAGGGAGAGAGAAAGAGAGAGAGAGGAGAGAGAGAGACAGAGGGAGAGAGAGAGAGGGAGAGGGAGAGAGAGACAGAGGGACAGAAAGAGAGAGAGAGACAGAGAGAGAAGAGAGACAGAGAGAGAGGGAGACAGAGAGAGAGAGAGGAGAGAGAGAGAGAGGGAGACAGAGAGAGAGAGAGAGGGAAAGAGAGAGAGAGAGAGAGAGAGAGAGAGAGAGAGAGAGAGAGAGGGAGACAGAGAGAGAGAGTGAGAGAGGGAGAGAGAGGGAGAGAGAGAGAGACAGAGGGACAGAAAGAGAGAGAGAGAGACAGAGAGAGAAAGAGAGACAGAGAGAGAAAGAGAGACAGAGAGAGAGAGGGAGACAGAGAGAGAGAGAGAGGAGAGAGAGAGAGAGGGAGACAGAGAGAGAGAGGGAGAGAGAGAGAAGAGAGAGAGAGAGAGAGAGAGAGAGAGAGAGGGAGAGAGAGAGAGAGAGGGAGAGAGAGAGGTATAGTTTAAATCCTTTATTATTACATCAGAGACACACTGAGTCTCTCTCTCTCTCTGAGTTGTAGTCCTGACTAGCAGACTCAGATTAAACTGGTCCTGGACTGAACGTGGACTCTCTGTGGATCAGTCCAACATTTCGCTCGTCCTGTGAGAAACCACACACTCGACTGTCCCGAGCTGTTCTCCAAGTTTCCTCTGAAGGAGAGTCTCAGTCCAGGATCAGTCTGTAGACTCCTCCTGCTCGGCCCTCACAGAGTTCAGCAGTGTGTTACTACAGCTGCTCACAATAAGGCAGAGACCACCAGGACCAGTATGGAGACTGGGAGACAGTCTGTGCGTCCTGATTGCTTCATCCATCTGTCAATCATTCAACACTAACAACAGCTGTTTCCAGCTGCAGATGTTTGTTTGATGCTGCCTGAGAGGACGAGCCAACACTGAGGTCAGAACAGTGGAGATCATCTCATCTAATGTGTACTTGGACTTTTTATGAAGAGCTCAGAATAAAGATTCATGATCACATTATTTGGATTGATTCATGAACCAACCACTTCTTTTGAAATGTCAACAAAGAATAAGGTGAACTTTTCAAACAGCTCCAGAATAACACTGAACGCTGTTTCATTTACAATCATATCAAACTGATCAAAGCAGCTAATTGTCATATTTGACAAACTGGAAAAAACATTTTGGACCTTTTGGATTCAAGAGACTGAAATAATGAGTCCATGATCAAAATGATTGTCCCTTCATTTTCTGTGGATCATCTCATCAATGAATGGACTGAACTGTTCAGCCTGATGAGTGAATCATGGCGTACAAACACTGTTCAAGTTTCATTCATCTCATTTAATCTAGATTTATAATTCACATGTAGAATCTGGGATGGAACCTGAACATCAGTACGGTCCAGTTCATACAATCCAATATGTTTCATACCACATATTTAGAGCGTTAACTCATTATTCTTGTTATTATTGATGATGTAACGGCTTTTTTTAAATCAATCAATAAATGTTTGAATCTGTTAAATGTCAATAAAAAGTCAAACAAGTCCATCACAACTTCTCAGAGGCTGAGATTAAATCTTTAAATGACTTCTTTAGTCTGAGCGACACTGAGCAGAAAGTCATTCATTTAAAGAGTTTATTATGAGACAGACACACCGTCATCACATTCATCTAAATGAATCTAATCTAAATGAATCTAATCTAAATGAATCTAATCTAAATGAATATAATCTGTAGTTGTTCTTGTTCATATTTCGGACACAGGGAGGTCAGTACAGTAGAGTTGTGCTGTTTGACCTTTGACCCCTCTGATCTGATGGTCATATTTATCATGGCGTCCTGTCAGTCAGCTTCATGAAAACATGCTGCTCCTCCTCTCATGTGAGGACCCAGCAGAAGCAGCCTGTGTCCCATTTGGGGTCCTGCTCCTCAGTTTGAGAAACCAGGCAGTAATGTTCCTCTATCAGCTGTGTGTTGTTGGTTTGTTGTGATGAACAGGTTTGTTTTTCTAAAAGGAGAGTTCACATGTGGGCAGCTCAGTAGAGTTCTTGTGATGTAATCTAGTGGAGATCAAGTGTTAATAATGTCTGTAGATTATTATGGGATGGACAGAAACACTGAATCAGAGCAGTACAGCAGCATCCAGGAGTCTGAGTCTCTGAGATGTTTCTGTTGAGTCTGACTGTTTGTTTCAGACGAGGAAAGACTTCATCCAACAGATTCAACCATGAACACACACTCCTGACTCTGTGTGTGTGTGTGTGTGTGTGTGTGTGTGTGTGTGTGTGTGTGTGTGTGTGTGTGAGAGTGTGTGTGTGTGTGTGTGTGTGTGTGTGTGTGTGTGTTTAATGTGTGTGTGTATGTGTGTGTGTGTGTGTGTGTGTGTGTGTGTGTGTGTTTAATGTGTGTGTGTATGTGTGTGTGTGTGTGTGTGTGTGTGTGTGTGTGTGTGTGTGTTTAATGTGTGTGTGTATGTGTGTGTGTGTGTGTGTGTGTTTAATGTGTGTGTGTGTGTGTGTGTGTGAGACAGTGTGTGTGTGTGTGTGTGTGTGTGTGTGTGTGTGTGTGTATGTGTTTAATGTGTGTGTGTGTGTGTGTGTGTCTGTGTATGTGTGTGTCTCTGTGTGTGTGTGTGTGTGTGTGTGTGTGTCTCTGTGTGTGTGTGTGTGTGTGTCTGTGTGTTTAGTGTGTGTGTGTGTGTGTGTGTGTGTGTGTGTGTGACTGTGTGTGTGTTCTGTGTGTGTGTGTTTAATGTGTGTGTGTGTGTGTGTGTGTGTTTATGTGTGTGTGTGTGTGTGTGTGTGTTTCTGTGTGTGTGTGTTTAATGTGTGTGTGTGTGTGTGTGTGAGAGTGTATGTGTGTGACTGTGTGTGTGTGTGTGTATGTGTGTGAGTGTGTGTGTATGTGTGTGACTGTGTGTGTGTGTGAGAGAGTGTTTGTGTGTGTGTGTGCGTGTGTATGTGTTTAATGTGTGTGTGTGTGTGTGTGTGTGTGTGACTGTGTGACTCTGTGTGTGTGTGTGTGACTCTGTGTGTGTGTGTGTGTCTCTGTGTGAGTGTGTGTGTGTGTGTGTGTATCTGTGTGTGTGTTTGTGTGTGTGTGTTTCTGAGTGTGTGAGAGTGTTTGTGTGTGAGTGTGTGTGTGTGTGTGAGTGTGTGTGTGTGTGTGTGTGTGTGTGTGTGTGTGTGTGTGTGAGTGTGTGTGTGTGTGTGTGTGTGTGTGTGTGTGTGAGTGTGTGTGTGTGTTTCTGAGTGTGTGAGAGTGTTTGTGTGTGAGTGTGTGTGTGTGTGTGAGTGTGTGTGTGTGTGTGAGAGTGTGTGTGTGTGAGTGTGTGTGTGTGTGTGTGAGTGTGTGTGTGTGTGTGTGTGTGTCTGTGTGTGTGTGTGTGTGTGTGAGTGTGTGAGAGTGTTTGTGTGTGAGTGTGTGTGTGTGTGTGTGTGTGTGTGTGTGTGTGTGTGTGTGTGTGTGTGTGTGTGTGTGTGTGTGTGTGTGTGTGTGTGTGTATCTGTGTGTGTGTTTGTGTGTGTGTGTTTCTGAGTGTGTGAGAGTGTTTGTGTGTGAGTGTGTGTGTGTGTGTGAGTGTGTGTGTGTGTGTGTGTGTGTGTGTGTGTGTGAGTGTGTGTGTGTGTGTGTGTGTGTGTGTGTGTGTGTGTGTGTCTGTGTGTGTGTGTGTTATAAACAATCTTTTTTCAGTATAAATTGAATCATAAACAAACCTCCAGTTTGGTTGAAGCGCCGCTTTAAAATGTCAAGGCCGACTTTGAACCACTGCTGGGCACCCACAAAGTTACCAGTGTCCTCCTCCCAGTAGTCAGCATCATCATCTGTGACTTTGTTCATCCAGTCCTGTTTGGGTACGAATCTCTTGGTGTTACTGTCGTAGTATTCTATCTGAAAATCATCAACCATCCCAACAGACACAAACTCTGGGAAGTTTGTGACTTCAGAAGACGCCATGTAGAAATACTTCAGAGAGTGCATCTCTGTAAGGACAAAATGTTTTCATCAGTTTAATCTGAAACTTTTTGCATCATTGAACAAAAGTTATTATCCAGCACACAGAATCAAAAAACACTTCCAGTACATTCAACCAAACCTGATCATCTCTCTGCAGTCATTAAATACTCCAATTAATTTAGAGATGAAAAGAAAAAGTTCTCCTGGAACTCTTATTCTGATATTTCTGATTCAAGTGTTAGAAAATATTTTTATACTGAAATTATTTATTCAACAAGTCAAATATTCAAGTGATGCAGTCATGCCCCTGACTTTCATTGACAGATATGTTTCATTAAGTGGATTTTTTATTGACTTCTTGACATCTCATGACTAGTCCTCACGTAGGCGGGTTTTATTATTTGAGTTTTGAAAGGACAGTGTTGGAGGACAGCAACAAAGAAAAACTATTGAACAGTATATGGAGCACAGTTTAAGAAGCTGTGTAGACTGAGTGGAGCTGCACAATCAGCCAGCGCAGAAAAACTCAATTAGAAAAAACTCAACTAAAAAACTTCAACTAAATGACAGATCATTTCTGAATCCTGCATGTTGTCTGCTTTCTGAATGCACGTCGATCATTGTTCTGTTTTTAATCTGCTCTTTAGAAAAATATGCACTGCTCAGAACAAAAAAGCTTTTAGATAAATCTGTGCAGGAATAAATGTAACCACTTTGAATAAAGTCTACAAACTTTGTAGTCTTATTAATGCTGAATTGTTGAGGCTGCTGTGGATGTTTTTTTGACTTTCACAGATTAAAACCATTTATTTCTTTTTGTGTGGGAAACACAAACTGAGCTGTGACGTTTCAGTTTGAGAATAAAGTCGTGACTGCCCTCTGGTGGACAAACTCTGTAATGCAGACTCTGTTTCTAAATGATGTTCAAGCTGCTTCACTGTTTTCTGTCACTTATCGGCCAACATAAGCACAGAAAACTAAATATGTGCAATAAGCTCACATCAGCAGATATGTGTTTCTAGATCCACTAAACAGTCTGATGTTTGACTTCAATGAAATGTTGGAGCTTCAGGGTTTATGTGATCTCAACTAAACAACAAACAAACATGTAAAAGATGAAGATCATCTGTGGAATAGCTTTGAGCTTATTCATATTTCATATACAAATATTCAGAGGTAAAACAATAAACCGAGATTAACTTCATTTTGAGGGTCAGGAGGTTGATTATGTTTCTGATTCTTTGAGCACATATTTGAGTTTGATCCTCACAAAATGAACTTTAATGACTGTGACACTCTGATTATATGTTAATTATCACAATTCATTCAAGTGAAATAAGTATTTATACCACATTAATTATACTACATTAATAACAAAACACTTTTTCTAACATTAAAGTGTCATGAAGGACTTAAAGAGTCCATTTAAATGCTCTGTTAATGGTTTTAGAGGTGAAACACTTTGAAGGCATTTAGTTCCTTTTTCTTTCTGAATCAGAGTCTATCTGCTGTGTTCACTGTAGTTATGCTGCTATTTTAACATTCATGGTCCTATAACATCCAGAAGAAATCACTGTTACTGTTCTGACAAAAAGAGGAATGTCTGTGTCTTATATTTACTGATGTCAACAGCGATGTGGGTGAACATGACAATTGAAAATGAATATTTAGTATTTATTATAAGATATTTGTTTTCTATAGAACAACGTGAAGTCATGGAGTCTGTGGCCAGCGACGAATGCCAAGTGTCACCTGCACACCAAAAACTGTAAGTATTAGAAAACATAGTGTTATCTATTATTATGAGTTGCAGCTACCTTGTTCAGTATTATTCCTGCAGTGTGGTGGAAATGACGGTTAAACTGAGTGACAGATATATTTTGAGTAAAAATTCATATTTACACACAAAATACTAACATGTTTTTTGATTGTTTAAGTGCTACTTAACACAAGTACATCAACATTGATATGATTAATCACGATTTATAACTACATTTTCATTGTTGAACATATGAAGTTCGGGTGTGGGACAAGGGCAAAACAGTGATATTGAAGTTCATTGTCACTGTTTTGCCCTTGTCCACACCAATTATTTTTACTTTATTACTTTATTACTTCATTTCTGTTTACTGTGTGGTTTTATTGTATTGTCTGTTTGGCTGGATGAGCGTCCATCTTCCCTGAATGTTAAACTGTAGTTGCCTTCTATCTTTGGTTTCCCGTCCCGGTTAATGAAGTCTGCTTTACTTGTTTAATCGGTGGAATATGCGCACAGACATATCAGCACTTGTTCTGTTTAAACATCAGCAGGTCACTCACTGATAAGTCCCTGTCACTGTAATAACACCCTTTGTAATCTGCAGCGCCATTTCTCTTCGTCCCGCCCCGTCTTGTATCTCCATACAGCTGATACTAAACCATAAATGATATACTATATTACTATATAGGCTACAGCATATGCTATATAGCCTATAGACAGTTTAAGGGCCCACTATTGGTCCCCGCCCCCTCTGCAATGAGCCACAGGCTCCGCGCCTAATTGAAGCATATAAAGATGTTGAAACGTAAGTAAAATACATATTGGAGAGAAGGTAAAAACATTTAAGACAGTTTTATTGTTTATTTATCAAAGAGAATGTGAAAGTGTTTGTAGTCAAAGAACCACCCTTATAAAGACATGCGACATTTCCCTCTTTCCATTAAATCGTCTTCAATGAATCTGAACTCACCTGCCGTCGTGTCGTGGAGGAATAATCCCACGAGAGACACAAACACCAGAGTCTTCATTGTGACCTGTGAAGTCTTCAGCTTCGTCCAACTTCAAACATTTATGTTTCTCATCAACTTCTTCAGAATCTGCAAACACATTCAGGCTATGCGACGGAAAACCTTTGATCCCAATAAAAGTAGTGATGTGTCGTCATGAACGATTCGTTCAAAACGAACGAATCATCTGGGTGAACGAACTGAACTGAATCACTTACTGAAAAGAGTCGTTCATTTCTCAACTTCAGTTGTTCTCTCCTCTCTCCGGTCTCGTCTCTCTCTCCAGACTGTAAGAGTCTCTCAAAGCCCGCCCTCCCTCTCCTCTCATGTCAGTGATACCTACTGACTGAACCAACAGGACGGAGTCGGTCAGGAGCTCTGTGTCTCTAAAGCCCGCCCCTACTTCTCCCTCTCATGTCTCCAAGATTGAGGAAGTAGAAAATATATTATTTAACATTTAGGTGTCGCGAAAATGTTTGTGCTTTTTATATCTGCTGTCAGTTTACAAACAGCTTTTATATCCAACTTAATTTAACTCAGCTGACTGTTTTAACATCTACTGACAATCGTGTTTCAGTCAGTGCAGTGTGTGTGTGTGTGTGTGTGTGTGTGTGTGTGTGTGTGTGTGTGTGTGTGTGTGTGTTTGTGTGACTAGGCTGGTGACTCGCAGTCTTGCTCGTTCACTGACCGAACTTGAGAGAGCTCCTCCTCCGAGTCTCTCTCTCCTCTCAGAGTCAGTCAGTCAGTGATTTGTGTTCTGAACAGAACGGCGGAAAATAAATGTGATTGTTTTAGCAGCTTTCAGTTTGCAAACTGTAACTTTATCCAACTAAATTCTCAGCTCATTGGTTTATTATTCACCACCGCTGCTTCTCAGTACGATGCCAGCAGAACTAAACGTTGGCCGTGTTTCAGTTTATTAAATTCTGATTCACAGACAGAGCTGCAGAGAAGTACTGAACGAATCTTTTGAACGAATCACTTTACTGAACTGATTCTACTGATTCAGTACACTGAAAAGAACTGCTTTTCACATCACTAAATAAGTCTCCCACCATCTCTGGAAAGAACAAGCTCCCCCTGCTGGTCCACAGCGTCAACTGCACCCACTAACCATCCCTGTAATATCCCCGTGATTTTAACACAAAGGAAGAAAAACACTAGCTCAGCCCTCAAAACAGCAAACCTCTGGAACCTAAAGCCAGTTGACTATGCCCCCCTAATCACCTCCACCATCCCAGATACTCTTATTAAGTTGGCACTGCTAAATGCGAGATCCTCTCAAACAAGACCTTCATCCTGAGTGACTATATCTCTACTGCTCAGTTGGACTTTCTCCTCCTTACTGAGACCTGGCTGAAACCTGCGACCAGTCTCAGCTACTGGAACTATGTCCTCCAACCTATGACTATTTTAGCACCCCAAGAACCACAGGCCGAGGTGGGGGTCCTCGCTGTCGCTTTTAGAAATACATTTAAATGTCGCCAAATTGCTTTTAAGCCTGTGTCATCATTTGAGACACTTCTGTTTGTAATCTGCTGCCCAGAGCCAGTACTATGTGTGACTTTGTACCGCACCCCTCGCCCAAACCCTGTTTTTCTACCTGAATTCTCTGATTTTATGTGTTTTATTGTCCTTAACTTCGACAAAGTCATTTTAGCTGGTGATTTCAACATCCATGTTGACGACTCCTCAAACAGACTTGCTACAGAATTTCTAAATGTCACACAGTCTTACAACCTTGTTCAACATGTGTCTGGGCCAACTCACAAGCACGTCCACACCCTGGACCTAGTTTTTACTCTGGGTGTAAAAGTAAACTCCTGTACCCATGTGGTTGCAGCTTTTTCTGACCACTGCCCCATCTTATTTGAAGCCCCCTTACCCTGCAAACCGGCTTCTCCTCTGCTCCAAGCCACCCCTTCCGCCAATTAACCCTCTATCAGCAACTTCTGCAACACCTTTTCCACATCGCAAGTTATCCGCTCTCTGCAGCTTCCCTCTGACCATCTGAATCCAGATGAAATGCTGTCATTATTTAATTCCACCTGCACAAATATCCTAAACTCAGTTGCTCCTTTTAAGACCAGGAAAGGAAAAGCAAAATCTCAGCCCTGGCTAAATGACACCACCCGCTCCCTCCGGCGAAGCTGCAGAAAAGCAGAAAGAAAATGGAAAAAAGACAAACTCCAAGTGTCGTATGAATGGTAAAAAACTGCCTTGCCCAATACCAAGACTCTGTCAAAGCAGCAAGGACAACATACTTCTCCGATCTCATATCACAAAACTCCAACAGGCCCAAGGTTCTTTTTAAAACCATAAACTTACTGACAAATCCCTCTGAGCAGACGTCTCAAGCCTCCTCCACATTAACCTGCAATCATATTTTAGAATTTTTTGGAAAAAAACAATGATATAAAAAAAGGAATTTCACCATCTTCTGCATCACATCCTGACCCTCCCTCAGCTGTGCAGGTTTTAATCAATTTGATCCAAATCTCTCTCTCTCTGCGAGAAATAATCCTTCACTTGAAGCCCACAACATGCCCGTCCGATTGTATTCCCCTCGCCTACTGAAAGAAACATTTAGCACTATTGGCCCAGCATCCTCTCCATCATCGAACAACTGCCTCTCCACAGGATGCTTCCCAACCACTTTAAACATGCGATGGTTTCTTCTGACCTAACCTAGATCCTAACATTTTATCAAATTTTAGACCAATCTCCCTCCCATTTCTATCCAAAATCCTGGAAAAGGTCATCTACAAACAAATCAACCCATTCTTAAGCAATAACCAAGTATTCAAAGCACTCCACTCTGGTTTTAGAGAAACCATAGCACTGAAACAGCTCTTTTAAAAGTTCTTAATTATTTGTTTTTAGCAGTAATAACGGGGACAGTGCAATTTTAATACTTTGAGATCTTACGGTTTGACCCAGCCTACTAATCACCAGATTAAAGGACTGGGTTGGGATCCAGGGGCAAGCCCTAAATATGTTCAAATCCTACCTGGAAAACAGAAGGTTCAAAGTATGCCTTAGAAATACCGTCTCCCCCTTGGCCAACCTCACCTGTGGGGTACCTCAGGGCTCAGTCCTATCGCCTCTTTTATATTCATGCTGCCCTTATAAGGAAGCACGGTCTATCCTTCCACTGCTCGGATGACACACAATTATATCTCCCGCTCAAAAACATAATCCACACTCCCTGCAACCACTACTCAATGCTTCAAAGAAATTAAAGACTGGAGGCACTAAACTTCTTAAACTAAATGTACAAAAAACCGAGGTACTTCTGTTCGGCCCCCCGGAGTCCACCAACTTGATCTGTAAAAAACTTGCCCACTGTCCTCTTTTGTGAAAAATATGCAAAAAATCTTGGCGTAACCTTTGATTCAACCCTTAAATTCGACACACAAATCAACTCAGTTGTTAAAGGCTGCTTTTTTCCAACTACCGGTCCTTAACAAAAGTAAAACCTTTTTTATCTTCCAAGATTCAGAAAAGCTTATTCATGCTTTTATTACGTCCGCCTTGACTACTGCAACTCCCTCTATATGGTCAGTCAGTCCTCCCTCTCACGGCACAGTCCAGAACCGCTGCTGCAAGATTTTTAACAGGTACACACAAGCAAGAGCACATCACCCCTGTACTCGCCTCCCTTCACTGGCTCCCTGTATGATCTTAGAGTCCATTTTAAAATTCTATATAAGTCACTGCATGGTCTAGCCCCCCCGTATCTAACAGAACTTGTAACCCCTACACCCATCACGCCCCACTTAGGTCCTCTGAACAGTCGCTCCTTGTAGTCCTCGAGCTCAACGAAAACTCAGAGGTGACGTGCCTTCTGAGTGGCTGCCCCGTCTGTGGAATCAACTGCTCCCTCCATCAGACAAATCAACTTTTAAATCCATTCAAATCAAAACTCAAAACTCACCTCTTCCTGGCATTTAAAACAAGTTGAAACAGACCCCATATATTGAGCTTAGGTATGT